TCAAAATACGACTTGCAACCACTAAGCACCCTCAATTCATGCACTTACCCAACATGAAAACTTACAACATTACCAATCATTCATTAGATCATGTGCCCTTCCTTACCAACAAACAAAAGAGTGAATATAGTAGTCCACACATTCACATATACTTTTAAACATAGATTAAGGACATCGCACAATTGAACAAAATTCGCTCACTCTCACAAAGAATTCATATGCATCCTGTGGTCATACCATAAGCTTTCCCATAGTTTATATCTCTATTAATTTAAGCCAGCCAAATCTAGGATCAATTAGGACTTTAAGGTTGTAATATAGGCTAAGGGACGAGTATGATACATTTAGAAATAGTGGCTAACCCTCCTAAGCATTTTAATGTACTACATTCATGATTCAAGCACATATTCTTCTCAGCCAATTCACTTGCCATATACAACATAGCCCTCTTTTCAATGAAGCACTTATATATTTCCACTAGCACAAATCAATAAGAATTGGAGGTGTGTATTTTCTCCATTATTTGAACTATCATATTTTTTTCTCTTTTCTTGCAATTTTTCTTTTCCTTTCTCTTTTTTTTTCTTTTCTTCACACACTCCATACATTAAAGTTCATCTGCTAGTGACTTTTAATTTCAACCTTAGTGCACCAATGGGCCCTTCCATAGTTCCACTCGAAAACTACTCCCCAATATCTCACCTTACTTCTTTTAGAGACTAAGTGCCTTAGGAGGTAAATGTTCAATCAATATCAAATTAAGAACAAAATAGGGGTATGACTTGTAATGTGGATGCCAAAAGAAAGGTCTATAGGCTCAAAGGGGCTAGCAACAGAAAATTTTATTTTTATGTGACAAGCACATCCATGACCAAGTAAGAAACACCTACATCATTTCCTAAATTAGCAAAACTTACAATTTCACTTCAATTAACACACGGGGCAAGTTCTAGACTACACAGAATAGCACAAAAAATCACAAATTCTTACACACACGTTGCACATGACTCAATCAAAACGGTTCTGTTCAACTCTCAAGTCAAGCAAGCACGCATAATTGAGAAATTTAAGCAATATTGCACTATGTGGCATACAAGTCAAACAACTGAGAAAAGGCGTCACAAAATAGGCTATTTACTTTACTTAGGCTTCACAATTCAAACCAAATAAACGGGAAAACAGAATGTATGTCATAGCCTAATGTACCAGCATCAACCATGTCAATGAGTATCTCAGAGCGACTCAGTTTCTTCCTAAACTACTCCTAAAGAAAAAAAAGTACCCTGTTCGAGCTACACCCTTGGAAAAGAACCGGCGCCCAAAGAAAAACCAAGGGACACTACCTAACTATCCTAAAAACAAAAAATATTTTTGGTGTTTTTAATCGGACTTTATCCCTCAAAAAAATTGTCCAAAAGATCCATCGTCGGGAAAAATCTGAACTTTCTAAACTTCTTTTTTTTTTTCAATTTTCGTTTTTTTAACTAGACTATGTCTACTACGAGTTCTAAAAGAAAAACTAAAAAAAAAATAGTTCTATACAATTACACTTCAAAAAGTAGTTTTCCCACCCCACACTTATTTTATGCATAGTCCTCGATGCATGATCATAGAGAAAAATAATACAACAAAGGTGAGGAATACTCCCTGAGACCCTCTCGGGCCTAGCTCGGACATGATCCTCAATCTGAAGGGTCGGAACGATCCCACACTTAAGCTCAAACATGCTCCTCAGCTTCAACTTCGAGTACTCAGGTTTTCCTTACTCTGCAAAACAAAAACAACACAAAACTTGACACGATATAAAAAATTAAAATACAGGCTGGGTTGCCTCCCAACAAGCGCTTGATTTAACGTCGCGGCATGATGCCATCACTTTCACCACTTTTCTTTCCACTTTGAGGATATAAATTGCTCCTCCAATTTTGCATCAATTTTTCTGTCACGTTCATGAGGCGGTTGTATAAAAATAAATGAACCAAGCAATATGTATCGCATCTTGCACTTCTTGGCCTTTAAGTGGGGGATGTTGTTTTGTCTCCTTGACATCACAAATTTTAGAATATAAGCAATTTGTTCCTTATCCATTGACTCCTTCATATGCTCGACTGGATCAATTACCATGTCACCAACCAAACACAATGTTGAAAATGTTTAGAATGAGGTCCAATACGCTCCAACTCCAAAATTGCATTATTTTTGACATCCTCAATTTTGAGCACTTCGTCAACCTTGGCATCATTAATAATATTTTGGTCGAATAGTTGAAGTTCCTCTTTCTGCTCCTCAAGCTGGCCAGTATCCACAAGGATTGGTTGTAGGACATCAGACGCTTCAACTTTTTTATTCAATTGATCATGTAGGTCATGCATGTCTAAGCCAAATTGGTCTATTTCTTGCTTGAGCTCAATTCTTTCGTCTATCAACTATTCTGTCATATTTGAAAGACCATCACGGAGAAGCTCATGAGGTTTTATCAGTTGAGCTTTTTCCTCAAGCCAAGATTGGTTCACTATATCTTTTTCTTCAAAATAATCTTCTTGTGGGAACTCGCTCTCTTCATCGAATTGAGGTTCTTCTTGGAAATTGACCATTAATTCATCCATTCTAGCTTGGAGTCTTTTGATCGTTAAGGCATCAAGACTTTGTTGCTCGACTATTTGCCTCATCATGTCCATAATACAAGTCATGCTTTCCATATCCTCCACTTCATTGCTCCTATCAAACTCATAAACATTATTAGAAATATTATAATAAGAACTCTGAGAAGGATAATAAGAATTAGGACAACCATCCCAATGGCCACCTTGACAACCACACATATTACAAAAATTCCACACATCAGATTGAGATGCACAATTTTGCCCTAAGTGTGGTCCTCCACAATATGGACAAGGATCACCATAATACGAATAACCAATATTCGACCAATTATCGTTCCAAGATGCCATGTCAACAAAGATAATAAAATATTAAACTAAGATAAGAAAAAACTTGAGTAGACAAAAAGTAAAAATCTAATCTAGTAGACTAGTTAATTTCTAAGTCCCCGGCAATGGTGCCAAAAACTTGTTGCGACCAAACGCATACACAAGTATACGTGGTCGACAAATAATGTAGGATTGTAAGTCCAGATATCGTACCCACAGGAACTTGTGATTAACTATCAACTAAATTAAATCAAACAATTAATCTATTCAAGTGAATCCTAAAATATGAATATTTAACTAAAATTAATCTAGAGTAACAAATTAAAAGATTAAAGAAAACAAGTTGGCGAATTAGAGAGGCGAATTCAATGTGAGTGAATATTCTAGAGCTATGGGTTAGCTAACAATCCCGTTGAGTTTTCCACTTAAACCGTCCAATTAATTTATCTGGTTTATTGGTTGACAGGGTTAATATTGTTCGTAGCCTTCTCCCGAAGTAAAACTCGCCTATTCAAGCTAACCTAACGCCTATATTCCTATGGAATTAGGATTAACAAGAACATATTTATAATTCACTTATAGTAACCAAGCAAGACGATTAGGTATATTCCTATCCTAACCGCAAATCCACTCCCCTCAGAGTTAAGATCTTGCTCTACTCAATCTTATATGCAATTTAGAATTTCCTCTCCCGAGTTCAATCCTAGATTCGTAGATAGTATTCAATTGGTGATCAAACAATCAAATAATTAAGCACAAAATTGAATAAATAAATCAATATGATAAAATAACAAGAACAATTCAAGCTTCAAACTACAACGTTCATGTAGCACCCAAAACTCTAGAACTAATAAACTATGAGATTAAAAGAAGAAAAGAGAAGAAAAACTAGTTAGAAGCCTCCTCCAAGCGTGGTGTATGTTCCTCCACGTGAATTCCTATTCAAAGTCTGTTCTCTATCTCTAAAGTGGCATCTTCCACTCCAAAAATATGTTTAGTCTTGCCTTTATACGTGTTGGGTAGGTCTAGGGCTGAAATAACCTTGTTCCGGGCGAAATTGGACAAAATCACGTCATCGGCGCCCTAGGTAGCACCAGGCGCCAACCAGGGCGCTGCCTCAACTTCCATTCTGCCTCCAGCGCCACAGGTGGCGCCAGGCGCTGCCTGTGGCGCCCAAATGCTCAATTCGTCCGGTTTTGTTCGTTTTGGCTCAAATTTTGCGCGTTTCGCCCCCAATTTCTCCCGAATCATTCATACACATAAAAACACTTCAAATTAACATAAATCATAGCATTTAAAATTCCAAATTCACGAAACAAAAGTAAAATATGAGGCGATATACATAGAAATATATATGCATTATGCTAAACATCAATAGATATATTAGTTGTTGAATCTCTTTGATGTAATCCAAGAGCTTTTCACATGTTTGTTTTTTAATATATATTTTGATTCCACTTAATAAATTTCTAGGCTCGCCACCTTTCACTCAGTGGAAAATATCCATGAAGGCTTTTTGTATATGCTAGACTACTTGTGGTCTTTCCTTAACGAGTTGGATCTCGTTTAATCAATCCTATACTAGTTATCATTCCATTGCTTGGTCCTACCAATCTCGATATAGGCGAGGCTAAGATTTAAGCTTTATGTATTTTGAAGTTTTGAAGGATAATTACAAGTACTAATAACTGAGTTTTAAATTTAATGTTTATATATATTAATAAATTTTTCATGTAAATATATTATTTGAAAAAAATTTATTAGATTTAATTGAACCCGTAGCTGAGCTTCTAGCTCTGCCCCTAAACCTCGAACCAAACAATCAAGTTAGCTCCATGTTTAGGATGTAATTCTCCTCTTTTATTTCGAGTTTGAAACCGACGATGAGAAAAGCTCTCATAAGCTGCAAAACTCACATAGATGGAGTTAGCTATCTATTATTTTTCTAAAAAATTGAAATTAATCAACAAATTTAAATGAGAAAAGGGGTAATGTCGTAAATATAGCTCATTCCAAGGGTATATAAGTAACTACAAAACAACTTTATCTGATGAATGAATTGATTCATGGCTTTTCCTTTCATCAGGAACCAACTTTGGCTTCTCTACCTTTTCTATATAATCACTCACTTAGCTACTCTTCTTTTCCCCCCTTTCTTTCTTTCTTTCTTTCTTTCTCCCACCCACTCACTCCAAACCCAAACTACTTCATTGCTAAGTCTCTAATATTTTCATCTCTCTCACCCCTTCACTCTCCTTTTTGGCTATATGGAGAAGAAAATGGCTAACTTTGCAAATATTAGAGACATGAAGAAAAGTCCTTCTTTATTGGCTTTAGAAGAGTATTTCAAAACTGGTGATGGTTTTGGAGGTATTGATCATCATCAAAATATCAATTATAATAATAATATTAATGACGACAACAACAACAACAATAATGCTCATGCTGATATTTTTGGTGATATTTGTTCAGTTGCTCCTTCATTTACTATGAGTAATCAGGTTAGCACTTTCCCTCTTGATCTTCTTGAATAATTTTCTAATGTGTGTATGTGATTTTTCAAAATTTTAGATTGGTAAAGTTGCTGTCACGTGACCGGTCACGGGTTGGAAATAGTCTCTCGTAAAAATGCAAAGTATGACTGCATATAATAGACCCTTATAGTCCGATTCTTCCGGACCCCGCATAGCGATAGATTAGTGCACCTTTTCTTGAAAGTGCCAAAAAGAAATTATACGATCACTATATTTTAAGATGTTATAGAGATTATATGTTACTCGAATTTGTGACATTTGTCTAAAATATTGTTTGGAAAATATTTTTTTTTTTTTTTTTTTGGAATTT